CTAATTTAATGATATTAAAAAGCTAAATTCCTTTCATTTGGACATTTTAAATGCCATCACTGTATAGAATTACACATAATCACCAAATAACGCCCTTTGTCACTATGCCACAGAATGATCTAATAGCCAGTCAAAAGGCTAATTGGAGGACAGGTAGGGTTACATGTGACAATAATTAAGCTAAGCTAAAGGCCAACTTTATGGCCTCTAGCGCTAGAAGTGCCGTGCTAAACAGGGACAACAATAACATCAAGTTATTTTCTTTGCATGCTGCCTAATTGGGGACCATATGCTTTGTGAGTATGTAAATAATTTATTTTCTTTCATTTCCATTTATTTACTATATGCTTCATATTTAAACATGTTTTAACTCATTGTAAATAATGCTGGCAGTGTTATGATTGTTTTATTGCTATTGTTTTGCTAAGGCATCAACACAAAGATGAGTGTTTACTTAGCATGTAACGTTGGACAGAGAGGGAGGCATAACTGATTAAACTGGTTTAATGGAATACTGCACTTACTCAATGAGGGAAATTTCCCACTGAGACGGAGATGGGGAAATTTTCATGCATCTCTATGGAATTGAGGTGCTCTTAAACTGTTTTAAAATAAATATATTTTATATATTTTGGCAAATGCAGTGTTTTCATTAAGCTGTCAAAAATTAGGTAAACAAATTAATTCTGCAATTAAGTCCAGATTTACTACATGAATATACACAATCAAATTCATTTTTAACACAATCCCCAATAAATTCTCATTAAAGTAACTTTGAATCATTTAGAACAGATGACTATTTTAATTTGCATACAAACAAGACTTTAAATATAGTTGACATCAGATAGTTAGTTCAATGCCTTTAACATCTACGCTTCTTCACAGCTTTTAGGTGTAATGGTAAACCCAGTGCTTGTCACTGTAATTTACACTGTGACCTTTTGTGCATTAACAGCTTCCCAATATGCTCATTACAGACTAAACTAACAGAAGTGAAGACTCCTGCGAGGAGCCTTTGTCAAATGGTGTAAACTCTTAACACCTCCACAACGCACTAATAAAATCAAGCATGTAGACCCCTTCATTTTCTTTTTCTCTCATTATAATTAAGTAGACGCCAACACATTTAGTTTTGTTTGTTTATTTATTTTGTTCTGAAATAATTAAATGTACAAAACAAACATGTTTATGCATTGGATTTTATGACATAAAATTGAATGCAAAATTTTGAAATTATTATTACTGAAATGTGACATAAATGATATCTTTTTTTTTCCGCTTGTATTTTGAGAATTAACTGTCCTGATGAGAGTAAATATGTCAAAAAAGTTTTTAATGTGCAGTAGTTTTTTTTAAAGAAAAAACAGTGTCTGTATGTAGCATTGAATCATTTATTCTAGAACAGAACATTATGAAATTAAGTGTTAGATAACAGATTAAAACAGAAGAATTCACATTTGCCACTCATACTGTAGTAGCCTACTCTTGTAATGATAATAAAAAACAATCAGTGTTAATGTCTCTTCTCAAGAAATCTCGCTTGAGATTGTTAAACAATTCACATTAATTGTGCAAGAGCAGCGCCTTTATCCAATTGGACAAAGACTTTTTATCTAGCACCTCCACTGACAAGTTGAGAAACTCAGCGTATCCAAGCCCCGCCCCTTGTGAAGGCGTCATATACAAATATGGTCACTATATCCTTATATGCAATGTGGTGGGTGGAGCTCCGGTAAGCACGGCTGTTTAGTGTCACTTTCACCGAATTCTTAACTACGGTTCTCAGAGATGAAACAGACAGCTGGCGAGTGAAACACGCCGAATCTCCTCTTGTAAACAGAACCTACAAGTTTTGACGGATTATTTAGCAACTTTCCTGGTACAAAGAACTGTCATACGGAAATAATTATTAGCGTTTATTCATTTTTATTTTATTTACATGTTTTTTTCCCCGCAATAATATTTCGCGTACGCTCTTGTTTGGACGAATAATGTATGGTTGGAAAGCGCTCTCTATTTGGTCTTTTCCTTTAAATACCTAATAATACCTACGACCGCGAGCCGTCTTACATAGGTTAGAAAGCAAAACTTCACAAGTGGGATTTCGAGAAGATCGTGAAAATTCAAACGGATGGTCTTCTCGTGGTCGCTCGGACATTATCGCGCAATATTGACAGTATTCGGAGCTTCTGAAACTCCGAGATGAACATGCATTTGGGATTTCTCTCACAATAATTATGCCACCTTCTTGTTTACTTTGTAAATATTCCAAGACCTCCTCTGAGTAGAGAAGTAAAGTTTCGCTATATCAAGTTTTTGTCATAGGAAGATCTCGGAGGTGATCTCCGCAAGCGTCGTTCAGGACCGTGTGAACTCTCCTCCCCGCTGGAAACGAGTCGCATTGTATCGGTCGTTACCACAGAAAGTGTTGCGGGATAGCATGGCAATGGTAGTAAATCAGTGGCAAGAGAACATTTCGGCTGATCCCGGCAAGATTAGTTTTTTTCTTCAGCCTCTGTTTAAATGCTCATTGCAACAGCAATGTATTTTTATAATGTACCTATTTAATAATTATTTTGTTTAAAATATAATTTAGAATTTGACTAATCTCAGCTATTTGCTTTTTAATTGCCCAAATAACATTCAACAGCAACATGATTATTTTTTTAAAACAAATAATTACATACAGTCAAACCCAAATCCTAGCCCTAACCATATAGTAAGTAGATGTAGTTAATTAATATGACTCAGTACTTAAATGTATAATTACACTGTAACAAGGACACCTTAAAATAAAGTGTAACCCAAAATCATTTTAGGTTCTCCAAAGAACCTTTCAGTGAACATTTATTTTGTTGTGAAGAACATTTTAATAATCTAAACTAAAGAATCTTTTGCCACTATAAAGTTTCCTATTAAAGCTTCTATGGATGTTAAAGATTCTTCATGGAACCATCAACGCCAATAAAGAACCTTTTTAAGAGTGTAAATGTAAGTAATAACAGAATGATCTGAAGGATTCAGCTAGTGCGTTCATGCCTTAGACTCACAGAGGTGATCTTCCTCCCAGCGCCCCTCTTCTTCGATTGCTCTACCTGTTTTTACACCTTACGGCTGCTCTTGACATGACTGACATTCCAGCCTGACAAAGGGCGCCTCTGATTGAAAGAAAGCAGTGTGATTGCCTTGTCAGTTCCACAGGCTTCTGCAAGTATGTGCATCTGCTGGAATGTTCCAATGCGCAAGGTCGTGACCTTTGTCAGAACTAGAAAACGACCAGTGTGGACTGAATGAAGTCTGACACTCACATGCAGAAGTGCTGGCATACAAAATCTCATCGAATGAGGGACTTGAGCCATATATAGAGACCAGAATAAATAGAGAGATTTGGGGGTGGAAACCTTTGACTTGGGCCAGTATGCAGCAGTAAATAAATTACTTGAAATAAAATAAATGTTAACTAAAATAAATTGCAGTATTTAATTTTTTTTAAAAAACGGATTTTTGTATAAGATTTCATGCGGAATGGCCCAGGATGGATGCAGCATGCGTGCAGATGCAGTAAACAGCGCATGTCCACCACGTGCTGCTTCTGCCGAGCGTCTCTGAAACTGTGACTTCATCCCATGACCTATAAGTCAGTCACTTCCCATGTGCAGGGTGAAATATAGGTCAATGGAAAGTAAACATTAATAATAGACAGGATCATAGCAAAGTCCAAATGTGACGGCTCTCTGTGGGGTTTGGGTAAATATCAGTCTGCCACCTGGTCGATTGGCTAATCCTGCTGTTCAACCCGTTTAAACAGGTGACCTCCGGCAGAGGTGACTCTTCCTTCTGATTTGCTGTATTTCAAAGTTTTAGAAATCTGAAAAACTGTATAAAAAAAGAAGAAGAAGTTGTAGTTTAAAGCATTTTTCACTATATCTAACTCAAAAACAAAACGGGGGCATAACAATTGTTAAAACATTGCTTTTACTTTATTGTTATGCTGATAATCATGTTGTTATTATATTAACTGAAACTAAAACTTTAAGGCCCGGTTTCACAGACCAGGACTAGGCCTTAGTTAAATTAAGGTATTTAAGCAGCTTTTATAAAAATGCCTTAGAAGAAAACGTCACAGGTGTGCATCTCGAGACAGAACAATGGCACTGACATATTTTAAGATATGTCAGAGCAAGATATTTTCAGTTGAGACAGCTCAAACATGCATTTTAGTCTGGGACTAGCCTTAAGCCTTGTCTGTGAAACCGGAGGTAAAAAAAAAAAATACATTTCATTGATTTAAGTAAATCCTGAAATAAAAATAAATATAAATATTAGATGAAAAACTTAAAAACTTGAAATGTTTCCATGGCAAGTTGAAGTACTAAAATTACTAAAACTAAAAATGAAATAAATTGAAGCCAAATATAACTATTAAAAAATACAAAAAAAAGCACATACCAAAAAAGCTAAAACTTAAACTAAAATTAAAACTGAAAAAAAAAAGCTATTTCAAAACATCAGTCAATTCCATAATACTATATAAATAATACTAAAATAACACTGCTGGTGGTTAAAGAAAAACGATAAACCAAAAAATGGTACAAGAATGCATTTTGACAATTGGTTTCACTGTTCATGTCTTTAGTAACATATTCTGTGGAAGCATGCACTTCTATTTTACTTGTTCAAGTGTGAATTGCTCCTAATTCAAAATACACTCTTAAAAATAAAGGTGATTCACGATGCCATAGAAGAACCTTTTTGTCTAAATGGTTCCATAAAGAACCTTTAACATCTGAAGAACCTTTCTGTTTCACAAAAGGTTCTTTGTCGCGAAAGAAGGTTCTTCAGATTATAAAAAGGTAAGAAAGAGATGGTTCTTTAAAGAACCTTTGACTGAATGGTTCTTTGTGGAACCAAAAATGGTTCTTCTATGGCATCGCTTGAAAAACCTTTTGAAGCACCTTTATTTTTAAGAGTGTAATTCAGTCAGTAAGGTTTAATAAATTTGTGCACCTGAGTGATTAAATATTTGTGCAGAAATGTGGTTGAACACCCAATGTAACCTGTCCCCACCCTTTTTGTCTTATGGCATGCCAGAGCTCCATCACAACCAGTTTCAGGAGAGAACGACTAACAGTGAAAACAAACGAGAAACAGGAAAGTCCAGCTACCGTAACTTTTGACCTCTTGAGTGTGAGTCAAGTGTTAATCCTCTGACACACGTGAAGCACATTCACTTATTGATTTATCAGAGCCTCATAAGAATGCAGTTCAACTTCGGCTCTGAAGAAATGTATGCTGTTAAGAGTGCTTGAGTTTGCTCGTTTTTTGCAGTTTTCCATCCTGATTTTTTTTTGTTCTGCTTTATGCAGAGAGAGAAATAATGTGAGAAAAAGGTCCAGAAAAAAAAACAGCAAAGACTTTACATTACATTATCACAAAAAAATTCAGTTTCAAACAACTGCTGTTCTTCTGAAATGTTCACCTTTTCCACAAAAAAAAACTGTTTTCAACTAATAATAACAAGATATGTTTCTTGAGCAGCAAATCAGCATATTATTATGATTTCTGTAGGATCATGTGACACTGTAGACTGGTGTAATGATGCTGAAAATTCAGCTTTGCATCACAGGAAAAAAAAATACATTTTAAAATATATTAATATAGAAAACAGTTATTTTAAATCATAATAACATTTCACAATATTCCTGTTTTTTATGTATTTTTTGATCAAATAAATGCAGCCTTGGTGAGCAAAAGAGGCTTCTTTCAAAAAATTGTACCGACTTCAAACTTTTGACTGGTAGTGTATTTATTTAAAATAACTGTACTATTGTTTGTTCACAAATGACATTTATAAAAAATAATTTTCACTCTGTAACTGTATAAAACAAGGAAAAGCTTCAGTTGTAAATTATACACATTGCTGAAGTGTTCATTATGTAGCTGCAGTTTCCAAAACAAAAGTTTCTGAATCCTCACCATTCTGTTTCTCCCTTCCTAAAGGAAACTATGATTGTATTGCATATCATAATGAGAGGCTTGTAGACATGTTCCTTCCTTTTAATCTTCATTGTGAGTCCTGATCATGTGTGATTTCCTAGCTAGAGGTTACTGAGTGGCTGTATTGTTGGTCGTAGTGGGCGTTTCTTCCACTGGATGCCCTAATCTGATTGGTGGGCTGATGCTGACAATCTCAAATATCGGTCAATTAATCGGCCTGGATCTGCCAACATCCAGGGACGCGGGAAGTAGGGGTGCTGAGGGGGCTGCAGCACCCCCTGTTTTCACATGGTTGCAAATGCAACGCCAAGTTTGTTCATTTAAATTTATTCAGTTTTAGCATTTAATAATTTATTTGAAATGATCACTGAAATGTAAATTGTAAGTGGGCTATAAAAAACCCATGTTTATCTTTATAAACATGATTAATTTTACTTGTGATGTTTTCTATATGGGATGATTAGCCTAATCCTCATGAACACGTGACGCTAGCGCGTGGTATCAGACATGAACTGTACAGAATGCGAACAAGATTAATTTTAATACTATAAAGAGATAATGGCACAAAAGCGAATTTCAGATTTTTTTAAATGCCCATCCCAACAAAAACTTTCCAAAATTGGCATCCAAACAACACCAGCCCCAGCACGAGCACCTCCCCGCCCCCCCCTTCACCCAACATGGACACACACAGCACCCCAACCTGAAAACATCTTCCCGCGCCCCTACCTACATCTGTAGTTTCTGAGCACCTTTTTCATCATTTAGTCATTCTTTCAACCTTAATTCCCCTTTACCATTCATCTGATTCAGGGTTTGCATGTGCCATTGGCTACATTTTTTTAATTAAAATTATTAAAAGAAAACGATAATGATACTTTCAGGTCTTGGTCTGTCATTGATGAGGAACAACTGAGATAGAGTTGACACTTCCACGAAACTCTATTATGTCTGTGAAACCTCTGAGCAATAACATTTTCCTCTGGGTGTTTGTCACCCTCTCTTACACACACACACAGTCTCTTTTTCATTCTGTGCTCATTTCATGCTCCCTCTGGTTTATAGTAAATGGAGTTATTGGCCAGACAGCAAGATAGTTAAACAGGTGTTTCCCAAATGGGCACTGAGCTGCATCGTTACAGGAATGGCCTCTGTTTTGCCCTTCACCTCGGGCTGAACCATTTGTTTGAAGAAGTGTGAAAAACACCATTTCACCCATAGTGTTCACTCACTCATTACTCATTGATGGATAGCAGAGGGGTCGGCATCTCTCTGATGGGTTTCACAGATGCTATGACTGCAGTTGCTTAGACATTAGAAAGCAGAAGGGCACTTGATCTATTGTGGCGGATGGATTTGGTTGTTTTTGCAAGTAAACACATCAATATCCTCTTCTAATGGTTCTTTGCTTTTTATTTTCTCCTCCTCAGCTGTGCAAAGGGGTCGTATGTCCAACTCGCAGTCCAGTCCAGGACAGTACCTGAGCAACGGGAGTGACCCATACAACGGGCAGCCGTATCTCTCAGGCTTCATCTCTCTGCTCCTACGTGCCGAGCCGTACCCCACGTCTCGCTATGGAGCCCAGTGCATGCAGTCCAACAACCTAATGGGCATCGAGAATATCTGTGAATTGGCCGCCCGTTTGCTCTTCAGCGCCGTAGAGTGGGCAAAGAACATCCCTTTCTTTCCTGACCTACAGCTCATGGACCAGGTAAATCAAGTTCATTTTTACTTAATACATTTTTTAGATTTTTCAATATTTATTTTCATATTCTTAAACTTTTTTTTTTATTTTGTACATTTTTATAAATTAATAAATATATTTTATTTTATACACTGATAAATCAAGTTCATTTTTACTTATAGTTTTTATTTTTATTTTATCTAATATTTTAAAATATTTTTTATTTTATTTTATTTATTGAATCAATAACAAAAAGTGGTAAGAGGGCCTGGTAACATCAGTCGAAAGAAAAGTTATTAAAACATTTTTCTTCGGAGTAACATGCACTGTCTATTTGAACATCTATTAAGAAACTTAAAGCAATAAATCATTATTGTGATTTTACAATGGATGAGGGATAATTTTCCAGAAACCCACTTGACCTAGATAAAATGACTGTAATGCACAGCCTTGAGTGGTATATTGCTAACAGTGACAGCAATATAATAGAAGACATCAATGTTTTTTTTTTATTAATTTATAATTGAATTAAATTTATGTAATTTTATGCTAAGTAATATATTTTTTTACTTCTTTATGACTTTGAACAAGAAACGCACACATTTCTATTCATGTATTTTATATCTTAAGGTTTATTTTTTTAGTATTTTTTTATATTATATTTTATATCTGTTGCAATGTCTCACACGTGTGGGCCTTTTTTGTGTAGGTGGCGCTCTTGCGTATGTCGTGGAGTGAGCTGTTCGTTCTAAATGCTGCTCAGTGCTCTATGCCACTGCATGTAGCGCCCCTGCTGGCCGCTGCCGGTCTACACGCTTCCCCCATGTCAGCCGAAAGAGTGGTGGCCTTCATGGACCACATACGTGTCTTCCAAGAGCAGGTGGAGAAACTGAAAGCCCTTCAGGTAGACACGGCCGAATACTCCTGTCTGAAGTCCATCGTACTCTTCACCTCTGGTAAGAACAACTAACCTTAAGGCTACTTGGTTTGATTAGTATTTACTGTATGAGTCCATTTTAGAAACACCTCAATAATACCATTTAGAAAACACCTGGACCTCTTTTGCTGATCTGTTTAGGTCTAGTTGTCAGTAGTCCTGATTATTTTTTTAGGTTTCCAATCGTGTTTGTTACTAACTATGCGAAATAAATAGAAAGGGTACCAGATTACATAACGTACATTACAGTACAAACAACATGTTACACCCAAAACATTTATGATGGGCAGGATTTTCCGTGCCGCTGCCAAACGCTTTGGTATAGAGCTGCAGACTGAGAGATATCTTGCCCACTGGTTTAGATTATTTCTGATTCCCTGCTCTATCTGTCAGAAACCCTTTTCCAGCCCAGACCTGCACTTTTCCAAATGGATGACTGAACCCACCACTCTCGATTCGTTTTTTTATCACTCAATCCTTCACGCTTCCATCTATTATTGAAACCAGCCAAGCAGCCCCCCGCCCCACCTCAACTTCCACCAACATGACTGAATTATGCATGCTAAGTTGCAGCAAGAGGGATTCACTTCAGTCTGGCCGTGACCTACATAACCTCTGTAGCCTTGGGCATCAATGTGATCCATCCTGCAATTCCAGCCAAAGCCCCCCTCCACCCCCTGCTGGGATCTGCCGGCATGAGCTAACAGGGACAGACAAACTCTTGTGGCCCGTAACCTCAGCCCAAACCTCCTATCACCTCACATCACCCGACAGGCCTCTAATGTCAGCCAGTCGCCCCGATTGCCCGACGCGGTGCGGTGGCAGCTCCCAGTGCGTGTTCACACTGTGAAACACAAAGAGAGAGGGGGACGCCTTTGCCGTGCAATGCCAGCATGAGGGGGACTGGCGCAGAAGCACGCAAGACTTGTCACCGCTGACATTACGCCAGGGACTGACGCATCAGTGCCCCCCTTACAAAACGCTGCCTACCGTAACTATACATGTCTTTATCTGGACTCATGGGACAGAAGTGGCGGTTGTGTCCCGCTCAGCGGGTATCCTCGCCCTCATAGAAATATGAAGCAATTAATCTTTTGTTATCAGAACTGAAGCTCAGCTGGATTAAGTGTACGTAGTTTGTAGATAGATTGATAGACAGACAGACAGACAGACAGATAGATAGATAGACATGTGTTGAATTTCTTTCAGTTGTGATAGACAGACAGACAGATAGACGTGTTGAATTTCTTTCAGTTGTAATAGATAGACAGACAGACTGACGGATGGACAGATCATAGGATGAAGTCTTGTTTGATTGTGTAAAGTGTTGAGGTGGCAGTCAAACATGCAAAAATGACCCAGATTACCCTAATTCACCCGACAAACTCAAGACCTCAATTATGCCAATAGTCTGCCTTTGATGACCAGGTATATTGTGTAGCATACTGTAGGTTTCATCAAGTATTTTTGTTACTTTCTTGCTCGTTTGAATATGTTTAAACCCCATTGTCACATTTTTTAACATGGCACTACAGCTTTTAAGGCAACATTTGGATATAAAAGCCATTGGACCTTTGAAAGCAGGACCTGTTGTATTAGTTCACAGAATATTTCTATCAAAATATGTTTTTCTGTATTTTAGGTTTGGAGAAATGAATTAATGAAATAAAAGTCTGTCATTCACAGAATTGCTGCTTTTTTTGTGACATTTTGTTCCTGTTTCTCATTTCATTCTTGTATTATTCTGGTTTGGGCCAATAGTTTTTAAGGCTGTTGTGCATAAAAAAAAATGGATCTGAACCCAAAATGCTGATGTGTCTGACTGACTGAAACAGGTTTTCCTCAGGTATTTATCTCCATGGAAAAAAGTGTTCCAGGTCAGTGTTCCCAATACCATGATTAATGCTTAAGGACCATTGTACAAGGATATTTGGTTGTATTTGGATTGGATTTGCACTAAACCGGTCAATTTAAATCATTCGACTTTATCACATGACTTATAGTCACCTTAAAACATTACTTCATGTTTGTCATTCTTATGAGTGGATTTTTCCAAAATGCTAAAATATTTCCTTAATTTACTTAGTTTTTACTTAATGGCAGTTTTCTCCATATTAGTCAGTAGGGCTTTAAAGGGATAGTTTACCCAAAAATTAAAATTCTGTCATTAATTACTCACCCTCATGTCTTTCCAAACCTGTAAGACCTTTGTTTATCTTCAGAACACAAATTAAGATATTTTTGATGAAATCTGAGAGCTTTCTGACCCTGCATAGACAGCAACGCAACTACCACGTTCAAGGCCCAGAAAGGTAGAAAAGACATCATTAAAATATTCCATGTGACATCAGTGGTTCACCTGTAATTTTATGAAGCTACGAGAATACTTTTTGTGCACAAAGAAAACAAGTCTTCATGACTTCGACGCGCGTTCACAACAGTACCATAATGCATGCGAGTGCATTCCTCTGCTTGTAAACAAGGCGCAGTGCATTCTGGTTCCACGTCATGCACCACACACATGCATGCTACTGTCGTGAGCACACGTCAAAGACTGACAGGAAACTCAGAAGAAACTGTTGATTAAATTTTTTGTTTTAATTTTTGTTTTCTTTTCGCACAAAAAGTATTCTCGTAGCTTCATAAAATTATGGTTGAACCACTGATGTCACATGGAATAGTTTAACGATGTCCTTACTACCTTTCTAGGCCTTGAACATGGTGGCTGCGTTGTCTATGCAGGGTCAGAAAGCTCTTGGATTTCATTAAAAATATCTTAAGGCTGGCTGCACACTAGACGATTTTAAGGCCGATTTGTATCCCTGAACGATCGGGGGGTGTGGCCCGATTCGCGGCTTGTCGCAAACTATTTTTTGTCCAAAAAATCCTCTATTGTGTGGTGTCATTACGATCTAATCGTAGAGAGATTATTTATCTGCTCCTGATTGAGACGGAGCGTCCCCGAACTCAAATCGTAAATATCAAACAGGTTTGATATTTATGACTCTTGATCGGGCTGCCTCTGACCTGATACCCATGATAGCCAATGAGAGCGAGCATGCGTCACCTACCGGATGTTGTGTGCTTCTATAGCTGAAACTTGGCAGCCACAAACATGCCGTGAAAGCAGAGAACAT